CAATTTCCTTCTCAGAGGACAAGTGTAGGGCTATCAAGCCCCGCTCTACATGTTGCGTCCTATATATATTGTTTTATACAATTTCACTATATACACAGTTTATGGCATTGCATATGTGCTATTTTATTTATTTATTTCAGGTACTTATATAGCGTTGTCAATTTACACAGCGCTTTACATATATATTGTACATTCACATCAGTCCCTAACCCTCAAGGGGGTACAATCTAAGGTCCCTAACTCACATTCATACATACACATGCTAGGGTCAATTTAGACAGGAGTCAATTAACCTACCAGCATGTCTTTGGAGTGTGGGAGGAAACCCACACAGGTACAGGGAGAACATGTAAACTCCAGGCAGGTGATGCCATGGCTGGGATTCGAACCAACGACCTGTGTACTGCCAAGCAGAAGTGCTAACCATTTAGCCACTGTGCTGCCTATTGTTGTTTATGCACCTTGTGTTTACTTACTGGTTTATTTGGGATTTAGTCACTGGGGAGTAGGGATATAATTGCCAGCCCATGGGGCATTATAGCACATGCACATTTGTGGGGACCCGTTGTGTAGTAGGGACTTCGTTTAATTAATTAATAAATTATTTAAAGTCGTTTTTGGGAGAGGCAGCGCAGCAAAGTGACAGCAGAAACCAGAAGTGACGTTGGACGAGTTGCTTCTGAGATCTCTAAATCAAATATGCAGCGCTATGATAATGTATATTAAATGACGAATAATATAATAATAATGAAAAATCCATGCATGCGCTGTGGAGCGCTCCAATATATACAGGTGCGTGAAACGTCTGGAAATGACGTTTAAACTGCAAAAGTGACATACAAAATAAAACACCGATAAACAATATATAAAAGTCCAGATATGAAAAATCAGGTGAATTCCGTGACTGCAGTGATTATGAATGAGTATATATTGCACTAACCAGATAGCGCAAAATAGTGCGCATTTGAGTAATCAGACCACTCCTGGTCATCTGGATCTGGAAAGGTGATGATCAAGCAGGGGCGGACTGACAACTCATGGGGCCCCCGGGCAATAGGGGATCATGGGGCTCTTGTGTCCTTGCCCAAACTCAAAAAAAAACCTATGAAAAAGGTAGCAGGGGCATCTCATGGGGACCCCTACTGACCCCCGGGCCCTCGGGCAGTGACTGAGTTTCCAAATGGTCAGTCCGCCCCTGGGATCAAGGGATCATCTGGCAAACCACCGCAAGACAGGTGATCAGCATGTCATCACTCTCCAGGTATCAGGAATACTCATACTTCCAGCAGGGGGACCACTCCCAATAATAAGCATGGAGCACAAAGGAATCCACCTTGGGGGGGCTCGCAATAAATGAACCCAAGCAGAAAGCTTTGATAGTGTAGTAATTTATTATTTATAGGTATATCCACAACCAGAGTAAAATACACTCACATCTGTTGTATACAGTATTAAAGATGGCCACCGGCCTCCCACGTGGCCTGTGCGGCATGACGTCACCAACTGAGCTCCTTTCCTAACGCGTTTCGTGCCCATGCACGTTATCAAAGGGAGCGTGCCTCAGTCGGCCAATTCTTTAAATAGGGTGCCGAGTGCATGCGCGGTTGAGTGTGGTGACGCCATTTTGGCCCGCTCGCGCATGCGCAATGTCTGCAAGAGCGGCCATTTTCTTGGTTGCTCACAGACAACTAAGGAACAAAGCGGACATGGGTGTAAAAACATTCTGTCTGGTTATAATATTCAAACCAGCGGCATTATCGATGGATTAGACAATATATGGGGAATACCAAATAGGTATAAAATAGTAATTCATTATCGAGGATTATCATACTGATGGGAAACATGGAGATAGTCACCTCCATTTTATTGTTGCCAGGCAAACATCGTGTAAATGCAGGGCTATAAGACGAAATAAATGACGTTTGTGTGGGGACTACTGGTACCAGAATTCCCACTGTCTAAAAAAATTTCCTATGTTGCTGTGAAACCAAATACTAATTGTATAATGGGATACAATAGTAATAGATGATGAATATTAGGCTAATGAACATTAATTAAAACGCATTCCCTTGACAAATGGATACAATAGGATATCAATAAAATTAAAAACAACAGCGTATATAATGTAAAACAGATGTGAGAAATAATTAAAAAGACATAGAAACTATGATTAATAAAGTATATAACAGAACATTAAGAACAAACCTCAGGGTAAAAATAAAAATAATAATAAAAATAACACCAAAAAGAATTTATAAAAATTCTAAATGGGAATAAAAATGGTTGAGCGTAAAATATGATTTAAATGAAATTAGGATCCTACATATATACTCAAATTTAAATAACAGCCAATAAAATTTAAAATGTATAATGGGCTGCTAAAATACACGTTAAGCTCAGATAAAAAAATTTATAAAAATATTAATGGATATATGAACACCAAATAAAAATCAAAACATGATTTCCAAGCGCTGGGATAAAATGACCTCAGACGACGTATCAAAAACTTTATATAAAAATTGAAAATATGATAAAATGAAATAAAAATAAAACCATATGATCAAAACAGTGTGATACCAATAGTTATGCATAAAACCCTGTTAAAATTCTTGATAAAACTGGGATGCATAAAACACTAAAACTAACTGGTATCAATAAAACAGTTAATATCAAGGTCTACGTTTAAAAACTTGTGGAAAAAGGGATCGTAGCTCAAAAATCCATTTAGTTTCTAACTTAGATATAGATCTTCGCTTATACGTCCCTCTCCAGTGGTGTTTAATAATATCAATGCGAATGAACTTTAGGCAGCGGGGATTCTTATTGTATAATTCATGATAATGCATCGAAAGGGAATGCTCTTTGTACCATTTTTTAACCATTAGCCGCCCGGCCTATAGCCGTTTGGCGGCTGCAAAAATGCTGTAGCTTTCCGTGTGCACGCCATTTGGCGTGCTCCCGCACATGCGCAGTTCGCTCGGTTGCAGAGCCGCGCAGCGGCGCGATCTGTCACTGGCCGTGTACCTCGGACAAGGCCGATGACAGATCTGAGTACCGGGCCCCCGTTGCCGGTACCATGTGACCTGCGGTGACCAATCACAGCAGGTTACATGACAGTTGTATACAATGGATGGCTTCATTCATGCCATCCATTGTATACTCTAGCTGTGAATGGTCACAGCAGGTCACATGCACATGTCATGTGATTAGCTGTGGCCAAATCACAGCTAAGCACAAAAAAAAAAAAAAAACCCTAAATGAATCGATGTCATTCAGGTAAATGCTTGCTTATAGCAAAGTAATTCTTTGCTATAAGCAAATTGTGTAAATAAAAAAAAAAATACTGATCACTTCCCCAAAGTAGTACAATCTTACTATGGTAACATTGTACTACTTTGGTCATAGTAAAATCTGAAAAAAAAATCTTAAAAGAAATAAAAAAAAATGTAATAAAAAATTAAAAATAATAAAAAAAAATATATATATATATAAATTTTTTTTCATACTGTCACCAGTCAGTGTCCCTGATCACCACCATGCCAGTTATATGATGATGCTGTACTGCACTGGTGACAGTATGTAAAAAAAAAATAGTAAAAAATAATTTTTTTTATTTTTTCATTTTCCAAAAAATTATGACAAAAAAAATACCACTTCAAAAAACTCGCCATTCCTCTTATGAAGTACGTCGGACTGTCTACTCTGCAAAAAGGGGTCATTTAGGGGATATCTGTACTGTTCTGACATTTGGGGGATATCTGTACCGTCCTGACATTTGGGGGATATCTGTACTGTTCTGACATTCTTGGACCTCAAGAAATTAGATTGGCTGTCAGTACTTCAGGATTGATCGATATTCAGATCTATACCATAGTTTGTGAACTCTATAACTTTAATACAAACTAAATAATACATCCTAATTTGGGTTATTTTCACCAAAGACATGTAGCAGAATACATCTCGGCCTAAATTTATGAAGAACAATTATTTATTTGTAAACTTTTATAACAGAAACAAAGAAAAACGTGTTTTTTTTTTTCAAAATTTTTGGTCTTTTTTTGTTAATTTAGCAAAAAATAAAAACCCCGGCGGTGATTAAATACCACCAAAAGAAAGCTCTAGTTGTGTGAAGAAAATGATAAAATTTTAGTTTTGGTACAATGCTGTATGACCGCGCAATTGTCATTCAATGTGTGAGAGCGCTGAAACTTGAAAAATGGCCTGGGGGGGAAGGTGTAAAATTGCCCGGTATTGAAATGGTTAATATTGTACAGATACTCTCTTAGCCTATCTCGGAGCCTTCTTGTGGTCCTTCCAACGTATTGTTTGCCACAAGAGCATTCCAGAAAGTACACTACATGTGTGCTGTTACAAGTAATGACGGACTGTATATCATATGTTCTCTTGGTAGTATTAGAACAAAAGGTCTTAACTGGTCTCTTATGTATTCCATTTTTAACACATAACATACACCTGTTACAGGGAAAGAAACCTTTATGCCCAAAATTAAAGGTTAAGGGTCTGGGAGGGTTCACTACATTAGGAGCTATTATTATTATTATTATTAATATTATTATTACATTGAGTTTTATATAGTGCCAAAGGGTTTGCTCAGCGCTGTACAATAGAGGGGGGGGGACAATACATGAAACAGTACAGCAACAACAAACAGCACACGAGGGGTTAGAGGGCCCTACTCTTTCGAGCTTACAATCTAGGAGGGAGGGGATAGTGGCACAGGAGGAAGTGGCTGTGGGGGATGGAGTGGTAGGAGGAAAAAAGGAGGACGGCTGTTAGGTAAGGGTGGGGTAGGCTTCCCTGAAGAGGTGGGTTTTCAGGGAGCGCCTGAAGGTGAGGAGTAGAGATGAGCGAATTATTCAAAAATTCGATTCGACTGATTCGACTGATTCGGCGAATTCGTGAAAAAATTTCGATTCGAGTCGAATATATTCGCTGCGAATTTAACTTATAAAAGGGTGTTTCTAGGCTTCAGAGAGCCTTTATATTAGTGCAGAACACTGTACCTTTAATTTAAATGCCCTTGGAGTCTGCTGGGGAAGAGAAATAATACTGTCAGTCAGTATGACATGCAGATGAGTGCCGTCGATCTTAGAATCACCGCACACTTCACTCATTTGGGCAGTCACGGGGCCAAAACCAGAGTGTGGAGCCACAGTGTGGCGGTGGAGGCAGCAGCAATGGGAGGCCATACAGCACCCTATGACAAAATGGAACCCACCAGCAGTGTGAGGAGACCTGAAAGTGGCACATGGCAGAGTGTGGCGATGGAGACAGCAGCAATGGGAGGCGGTACAGGGACCCATGACACACTCTGGACCTGGCAGCAGCATGAGGAGGCGGTACAGGGGCCCATGACAGATTACGGGCCTGGCAGCAGCATGAGGAGTCGGTACGGGGGCCCATGGCAGATTATGGGCCTGGCAGCAGCAATGGGAGGCCGTACAGGGGACCCATGACACACTCTGGACCTGGCAGCAGCATGAGGGAGGCGGTACAGGGGCCCATGACAGATTACGGGCCTGGCAGCAGCAATGAGGAATCGGTACGGGGGCCCATGACACACTCTGGACCTGGCAGCAGCATGAGGAGGCGGTACAGGGGCGCATGACAGATTACGAGCCTTGCAGCAGCAACTTGGACAGGAGGACGTTCAGCTTCTGCACCGTCGGGTGCGTGCTCAAACTGTTGTCTCTGGGAAACGGATTCCAAGAAAGACTGCTGACGGAATCCGTGAAGAGGAGTAGCAGGAGAAGGAGCATCTGAACGAGCGGAATATGCCAACAAGCGACAACAGGGGCCCATGACAGATTACGGGCCTGGCAGCAGCATGAGGAGTCGGTACAGGGGCCCATGGCAGATTACGGGCCTGGCAGCAGCAATGGGAGGCCATACAGCACCCTATGACAAAATGGAAACCCACCAGCAGTGTGAGGAGACCTGAAAGTGGCACATGGCAGAGTGTGGCGATGGAGACAGCAGCAATGGGAGGCCGTACAGGGACCCATGAGACACTGTGGACCTGGCAGCAGCATGAGGAGGCGGTACAGGGGCCCATGGCAGATTAAGGCCTGGCAGCAGCAATGGGAGGCCCGTAATCTGCCAGCACCCTATGACAAAATGGAACCCTGGGCTGGGGCAGGCAGAACCGCCGTATCTTTATCACGGTTTTCCCAGGACACCGAATGGCGACGCTGCATATGCTGACGCAACGCTGTAGTCCCAACATGGGCCCCCTGGCCACGCTTGACTTTCTGGCCACACATAGTCGACATACGGCTACGTTTACTTCCTCGGGCGGCTTGACGAAAAATTGCCACACCGCCGAGTAGGAAAATTTGCCCCCGCTACTCCTCACTGGCTGACTGCTACTTCCTCTGTGCACACCGGCACCACTACTGGCCGTGGTGGTAGGCTGCAGTGGAGCTGGTGCTCTACTCCGTGGCCGTTTGCCTCCACTGACACTGCTGCGACCCTGCTGCCTCCTGGCAGCAGCAATGGGGAGGAGGAGGCGGTACAGGGGCCCATGGCAGATTAGGGGCCTGGCAGCAGCAATGGGAGGCCCGTACTCTGCCAGCACCCTATGACAAAAAATGGAACACACCAGCAGTGTGTGAGGAGACCTGAAAGTGGCACATGGCAGAGTGTGGCGATGGAGACAGCAGCAATGGGAGGCCGTACAGGGACCCATGAGAGACACTCTGGACCTGGCAGCAGCATGAGGAGGCGGTACAGGGGCCCACGGCAGATTACGGGCCTCGCAGCAGCAATGGGAGGCCCGTAATCTGCCAGCACCCTATGACAAAAAATGGAACACACCAGCAGTGTGTGAGGAGACCTGAAAGTGGCACATGGCAGAGTGTGGCGATGGAGACAGCAGCAATGGGAGCCGTACAGGGACCCATGAGAGACTCTGGACCTGGCAGCAGCATAAGGAGGCGGTACAGGGGCCCACGGCAGATTACGGGCCTGGCAGCAGCAATGGGAGGCCCGTAATCTGCCAGCACCCTATGACAAAAAATGGAACACACCAGCAGTGTGTGAGGAGACCTGAAAGTGGCAAATGGCAGAGTGTGGCGATGGAGACAGCAGCAATGGGAGGCCGTACAGGGACCCATGAGAGACTCTGGACCTGGCAGCAGCATGAGGAGGCGGTACAGGGGCCCACGGCAGATTAAGGGCCTGGCAGCAGCAATGGGAGGCCCGTAATCTGCCAGCACCCTATGACAAAAAATGGAACACACCAGCAGTGTGTGAGGAGACCTGAAAGTTAAAACATGGCAGAGTGTGGCGATGGAGACAGCAGCAATGGGAGGCTGTACAGGGACCCATGAGACACTGTGGACCTGGCAGCAGCATGAGGAGGCGGTACAGGGGCCCATGGCAGAATACGGGCCTGGCAGCAGCAATGGGAGGCCCGTAATCTGCCAGCACCCTATGACAAAAAATGGAACACACCAGCAGTGTGAGGAGACCTGAAAGTGGCACATGGCAGAGTGTGGCGATGGAGACAGCAGCAATGGGAGGCCGTACAGGGACCCATGAGACACTGTGGACCTGGCAGCAGCATGAGGAGGCGGTACAGGGGCCCATGGCAGATTAGGGGCCTGGCAGCAGCAATGGGAGGCCCGTAATCTGCCAGCACTCTATGACAAAATGGAACACACCCAGCAGTGTGAGGAGACCTGAAAGTGGCACATGGCATGACACACTGCGGACCTGGCAGCAGCATGAGGAGGCGGTACAGGGGCCCATGGCAGATTAGGGGCCTGGCAGCAGCTATGGGAGGCCCGTAATCTGCCAGCACCCTATGACAAAAAATGGAACACACCAGCAGTGTGAGGAGACCTGAAAGTGGCACATGGCAGAGTATGGCGATGGAGACAGCACAATGGGAGGCCGTACAGGGACCCATGAGACACTGTGGACCTGGCAGCAGCATGAGGAGGCGGTACAGGGGCCCACGGCAGATTAGGGGCCTGGCAGCAGCAATGGGAGGCCCGTAATCTGCCAGCACCCTATGTCAAAAAATGGAACACACCAGCAGTGTGTGAGGAGACCTGAAAGTGGCACATGGCAGAGTGTGGCGATGGAGACAGCAGCAATGGGAGGCCGTACAGGGACCCATGAGAGACTCTGGACCTGGCAGCAGCATGAGGAGGCGGGTACAGGGGCCCACGGCAGATTACGGGCCTGGCAGCAGCAATGGGAGGCCCGTAATCTGCCAGCACCCTATGACAAAAAAATGGAACACACCAGCAGTGTGTGAGGAGACCTGAAAGTGGCACATGGCAGAGTGTGACGATGGAGACAGCAGCAATGGGAGGCCGTACAGGGACCCATGAGACACTGTGGACCTGGCAGCAGCATGAGGAGGCGGTACAGGGGCCCATGGCAGATTACGGGCCTGGCAGCAGCAATGGGAGGCCCGTAATCTGCCAGCACCCTATGACAAAAAATGGAACACACCAGCAGTGTGAGGAGACCTGAAAGTGGCACATGTTTGGGGCATGATTCATGGCGGATTTAGTCAGTTGTGTCAGGAACTGGTGGTTTGAAATCCAGACTAATCCACGCCTGATTCATTTTCACAAACGTGAGTCTCTCCACACTTTGGGTGGACAGTCGTGTCCTCCGCGGAGTTACAATACCTCCTGCCGCACTAAACACGCGCTCCGATGCCACGCTACTGGCCAGGCATGACAGCCTTTCAAGGGCAAATTCAGCTAGTTGGGGCCAAAGGTCAAGTTTCGTTGCCCAGTAGTCAAGGGGATTGTCTACCTCGGTTGGCAGGGTGCTGTCCAAGTAGGCCCAAGCCTGTTGTTTGAGGTCCTGCTCCAGGTCCACCTGATGCTGCTGCTGCTGCTGCGGCTGGTTAGTAGTTTCCTCACTGCGCTGGTGAAGAAAGCTACTCATCATCGACTGCAGACTGAGGCAGCCGCTGCTGGTGGAGCTGCCACTGCTCCTACCACCCCACCCCTCCCCTGCTGCCATGGCAGCGGAACGCGAGCGCACAGGGCCCACAGTGTCTGAGGATGGACGTTGGCGCACAAAGGCAGAGACCAACTGACTACATAGGTGGTTTTTATAGTACGTTATTTTGGCCTCCCTCTCAGCAGGTGTGAAAAAGGCCACCATTTTTGAACGGTAGCGAGGGTCCAACAAGGTGGACAGCCAAAAGTCATCCCTCTGTCTGATGGTTATTATTCGGCTGTCGCTACGCAAGCAACCGAGCATGCTATGGGCCATTTGTGCCAAGGAATGCGAGGGACTCCCTGCCTCCATCTCCACAGCATACTGCCCACGGTGCGTCTGGGTCCTCTGTCTCCTCCTCCTCCTCCTCTACCAGATGCTCCTGCTCCTCCACTCCTGTCCGCTGAGTGGAAAAACACCCATTTCCCATTTCATCTGTGCGCCACATCTACCGCACCCTGACCAGCCATTGTTAACAGCATTTGTTCCAGGACGTGCAACAGAGGAATGACGTCGTTCATCCCATAGTCCTGCCGACTCACGAATAGCGTGGCCTCCTCAAAGGGCCTGAGCAAGCGGCAGGTGTCACGCATGAGCTGCCAATGGCTGACATCGAAGTTACACAGGGGAGTACCTTTATCCGCTTGTAACATCAGGAAATCGGTGATGGCCTTTCGCTGTTCGTAAAGGCGGTCTAACATGTGTAGGGTTGAATTCCACCTTGTTGCAACGTCGCAGATCAGGCGATGCTGTGGAATTCCGTTCTGCCGCTGCAGCTCAAGGAGGGTGTGCTTTGCGGTGTAGGAATGGCTGAAATGCATGCAAAGTTTACGTGACATTTTAAGGATGTCTTGCAGTGGGATGGTGGATTTTAGGAACCGCTTGACAACCAGATTGAACACGTGAGCCATGCATGGCGCATGGCACAACCTTCCTTGACGCAGAGCAGACACCATGTTCTTTCCGTTGTCGGTCAACATGGTTCCGATTTTCAGTTTGCGCGGAGACAGCCATCTGTCGATTTCTCTGTTCATTACACTCAGAAGTTCCTCCCCTGTGTGACTACGTTCGCCAAGGCATACCAGGTGCAGCACAGCGTGACACCGTTGCGCCCTGCACATGTGATATGCCGGTCGGGTAATGGGACTTGGCACGGGGGTGGCGGCTGAGGACACGAAGGAAGAAGAGGTGGTAGAGGCGGACATCTTTTGTGGACCAAGGACGTGCAAACGTGGAGGCAAAAGCGGCGTGACCTGTCCAAGTTGCTGGTGCGGCTGTGCCGGCACCACGTTCACCCAGTGGGCCGTAAATGACATGTACTGTCCCTGACCGTAGTTACAGCTCCACACGTCGGCGCTGCCGTGCACTTTGGCAGAGACCGACATGCTCAAAGACTGGCCCACCATCTCTTCTACATGTGAATGCAGGGCTGGCACTGCCTTTTTGGCGAAGAAATGACGGCTTGGCACTCTCCACCGCGGCGCGGCACAAGCCATCATTTCTCGGAAAGGTGCTGAGTCCACCACTTGGAAAGGGAGGGACTGCAGCACCAGCAACTTGGACAGGAGGACGTTCAGCTTTTGCACCGTCGGGTGCGTGCTCGCAAACTGTTGTCTCTTGGAAACGGATTCCAAGAAAGACTGCTGACGGAATCCGTGAAGAGGAGTAGCAGGAGAAGGAGGATCTGAACGAGCGGAAGATGCCAACGAGTGACAACTCCCCTCAGCAGAGGTGTTGGAGCCTTGACTGGCTGATAGAGGGCGATTGACGTCGGGTGACAGAGCAAGTAACGGAGCGGGTGATGGAGCGGGGGCTGGGGCAGGCAGAACCGCCGTATCTTTATCACGGTTTTCCCAGGCCACCAAATGGCGACGCTGCATATGCTGCCGCAACGCTGTAGTCCCAACATGGGCCCCCTGGCCACGCTTGACTTTCTGGCCACATAGTCGACATACGGCTACGTTTACTTCCTCGGGTGGCTTGACGAAAAATTGCCACACCGCCGAGTAGGAAACTTTGCCCCCGATACTCCTCACTGGCTGACTGCTACTTCCTCCGTGCACACCGGCACCACTACTGGCCGTGGTGGTAGGCTGCAGTGGAGCTGGTGCTCTACTCCGTGGCCGTTTGCCTCCACTGACACTGCTGCGACCCTGTTGCCTCCTGGGCAACCCACCGACTGTTTTGCTCTCGCTGCCAAGCTGCCACCCTCTTCTCCTGATGATGCAGAAGCAATAGCCTGATGACAACGAGGCTGCAAAGTGCGATCAGCCTCATCATCATCAATTAGGGTCTCCGCCTCACTACTAGCCCCCTCGGCTGCGTGTGGGTCAGGAGACAGACCTGTCTCTAGACCGGCTACCAAGCCACTCTCCTCACCACTACTTCTTCGCCTGGCTGCTGAAGAGGCGGATGTCTCCCCCCGTTCCTGACCGCCCTCTGTTAGCTCTTCCTCACTGTACAGTGGGGCTGAGCCCACAGCATGTGATACTTCGCTTGGTGAGGGAACAACAAAGGACAGGGGCAGGTAGAGGACACGTGATTTCAGTGGGCTTGCTCCCGGGCCATGCCAACTAACGGTTGTGTCTGACATACCCACCGACCGTTGGCTGTAGGTGTCAGAGGTGACCTGGGAAGAGGAAGACGACCGAGCCAACCAATCGATGACGGCAGGGTTGTCGGTGGAGACACACGACCGCTGGATGACACCGGGAGCACTCACCTCTGGCTGCGAATTGTGCTGCCTCGACCCCTTCCTCTGCTGCCACGTCTGCTCGCTCCTAAAACATTGCCTCCTCTGCCACTCCTCTGCATGTTGTCTGACATACTCTTTAATTCAACGATTATGTGTCCCTGAGTAACAATTCTGTGTCCCTGAGTAACAATTCTGTGTCTGTCCCTGAATAACAATTCTGTGTCCCTGAGTAAAAATTCTGTGTCCCTCAGTAACACTTCTGTGTCCCTCAGTAACAATTCTGTGTCCCTCAGTAACAATTCTGTGTCCCTCAGTAACAATTCTGTGTCTGTGTCCCCTGAGTAACAATTCTGTGTCTGTCCCTGAGTAACAATTCTGTGTCCCTCAGTAACAATTCTGTGTCCCTCAGTAACAATTCTGTGTCCCTCAGTAACAATTCTGTCTGTCCCTCAGTAACAATTCTGTGTCTGTCCCTGAGTAACAATTCTGTGTCTGTCCCTGAGTAACAATTCTGTGTCCCTCAGTAACAATTCTGTGTCCCTCAGTAACAATTCTGTGTGTCTGTCCCTGAGTAACAATTCTGTGTCCCTCAGTAACAATTCTGTGTCTGTCCCTCAGTAACAATTCTGTGTCTGTCCCTGAGTAACAATTCTGTGTCCCTGAGTAACAATTCTGTGTCCCTCAGTAACAATTCTGTGTCCCTCAGTAACAATTCTGTGTCCCTCAGTAACAATTCTGTGTCTGTCCCTGAGTAACAATTCTGTGTCCCTGAGTAACAATTCTGTGTCCCTCAGTAACAATTCTGTGTCTGTCCCTGAGTAACAATTCTGTGTCCCTGAGTAACAATTCTGTGTCCCTCAGTAAAAATTCTGTGTCCCCTCAGTAACAATTCTGTGTCTGTCCCTGAGTAACAGTTCTGTGTCTGTCCCTGAGTAACAATTCTGTGTCCCTGAGTAACAATTCTGTGTCCCTGAGTAACAATTCTGTGTCCCTGAGTAACAATTCTGTGTCCCTCAGTAACAATTCTGTGTCCCTGAGTAACAATTCTGTGTCCCTCAGTAACAATTCTGTGTCTGTCCCTGAGTAA